GTAAAGCAAAGATGAAGTATCTTGAAACTAAATGTAAGTAAATCTAAAGTTAAGTTTTTTCATAGTCGCATTTAATACTTTAGAGACACCTGTGCGTTGCAGAAGTGGCTTGAGATGATATTTTATAATCCCGCTTCAGCTTAGTCTGCTTCTTTCCAAGGATTATTTAAATCCCAGCGCTCTACTTTCATCGTTTCGCCTTTGTCACAGTTAAAGCGGCTTGAAAGACACGGTTTGAGGGTATGTGAAAATTCCAAGATTTGTTTTTATTTATGAAATGAAAATAAAATAAGTTGAAGTAGAGTTTGCTGGGCATATTTATGGACTCACGTTTAGTTTTTCATGATTTGAATGAGAAATATCCGAATTTTTACTAGGATTCTGCTAGTATTACTGTTTTCGTAATTCACATATAAATAGTTAATTTTAGTAAAGAGCCATGTAGAGTTAGCTGTTTAAAATATTTATAAAAAACGAATTAATATTATTCTTCAACACTTGGAAACAGATGATCTCTGCACATGGTACGGTAACGATCGCCGTTAACGGTAACGGTTCATATGCCACACGAAACGGTCACTCGTTTAATATGTAGTAGAATTTCCAAGTCTAGGGGTGGGTTTTCAAGATTTCTTCAGTTCATTGAATGAAACGAAGTTGCCTCAGATGATCGTGTGGCTTCAGTGTGTGACCTTTTGCATTATTCAAGTGCGCAAAATATTATTCCTGTGAACCGTATCCGATGTTTACAGCTACAGCTACATAAACAACATTTTCCTTTGGATGCTGTGCATGAGTACGTTTGCGGTTTGTTGAGATGGATGAACAGATTTTTTCGATCCATACAAAGTATGGGAAAATGATTTTAAATATAATTTCTTTTTAGCTTTTTTTTAGGATATTTCTTTAGCACTCTTTTTACTTCCCTCTGTGGGAAGCATCGAAATCGGTCCAAGGGTTTTTGAGATATAAGCGCAGTAACGAAAGCCACTCTCTTGATATACCAATTATGTAAATATTTGGCGAGCCTAATGATCAATAAATAAATTCAGAATTCACCCCTTCCGGTTTTGGTTTTTTTTTGTAACTGTCGCTTGTCCTTTGATTCGTCGTTCATTCATAAATTTATTGATCCAACAACGACTTGTGACAAAAGAAAATGTTACTTTAGAGCATTTGTGGAGCATAACTTGTATGAAATTTATATATAGGAATCGACAGTCGGAATATTTCAAAAAGTTTAAATGCATATGTGTATGTGCAATGTTTCGGCCAGGCGAGATCTGTCAGCGATGAATATAAATATTTGTTCCTTTTTGAAATTCAACTTATTAGCTGACGTTTCTCTTATACTTTGTTGCCATTTTCGCTTTGTAGTTGTTCTGTTTCTTAATGAACAGCTGGTGCCAACAATGCCTTTGCGTTTCGGTTTTAATTTCATATTTCATGCATTTCGTTTTTAATTAGTTTTGTCTGCCTGTCAGCGCGACTCCACCTGGAACGACTTTGCGCCTGTCATCTGCTCTTTATACCTGCCTTTGGCTCTGCGGACTCAGTTTCAATTTTCTGCTATTTTGCGTTTCTTTGTGACAAAGTGGCAGCTAAAGAATGGCATGTGGCTTTGCGATACAGCGTGTGTGTTTGTGTATGTGTATATATGTGCGTGTGAAGAGTTTGTGGCGTGTGGCGTGTGGCGTGTGGCGTGTGGCATATGGCTAGTGCCAGCCGCCAGCCGCAAAAGTTTCTTCTGTAAACTTCAGTGTTGCGTGTGCTTATTCTTCTGTGCTTTCTCAACTGCTTCTCTGTTCTTTATCTGCATAATATCCTTTGTTGTTGTTGTTGTGCAGGACTGTTGGTGCCTTTTATCATTGGTAACCATTTTCTGCTCAGTCTTGTGGCATATCCTCTGATGCTGGTATTGCTATTTTTGCTACTAACCTGTTGTTGTTGGTGTCGTTGTTGACGATAACGAAAACGTGCAACTGATTAGTTTGCTTTCGGCTGCCGAGCTTATTTGAGCTCTTTACGTTGCCAACCTCAGTGACTTGCAAGTCAGTTTCTGCCGCTGATTGTGCTTGTACAAACTCGTTTACTGCGCTGCCTGTGCTGTGGCATGGAAAACTCAGTAATTTCGTTGCGTTGCACCTTATTGCCTTCTTTTCTTTTTGTACGCTCTCTGCTTCTCCTCCGTTATAGTACGCGTTGCTTTGCATAGCGATGACTTCATTAGTGTTTGTGGCTTTGCAGATCTTTTCACTCAGGCGCAGCTACCGTCTGTGCCACGTTTCATGTTGCATCACGTGGCCTGCATTGTCAGGTGCTGCGTTGCACGTAAATTACAACTAATTTCTTTTATTTGGCCTTCCGCCATTTGCGGTTATTACGCACTACGTTGGCTTTTGACAACTTTCCTCCTTGCGGCTGCTGCTATTATGTGCGGTGGAGCTGTGTTTCTCTCTTAGTTTTTTGACATTTGCTTTGCTGTATATTTTACACCGGCTTCAATAACTTTGTTCACATTACTGTTGTCCTTTACCCCACTTTTCTCGTATCAAAAGACAAGCAAATGCTAATCACCTAGAGCGGGATGTCTAGAACCGGCGTTGTTTTCAATGTATTTTCGACCTGGTTGAGACAGACGAATCCCTATCGAGGTCATATAAATCAATCAAATTACATTGCTTGTAAAGGAATTTTATGTGAAGATGGAAATCATTTTCTTTATGGTTGAGCTAACGCGTTCGCTAACTCTGACTTGTGCGACGGCTCACAATTCGCGTGCATTTGGCATTTTACTGGCTGATGCTCATATATTCCATTCTTCGTAAGTTGATACTGCTACCCTCAAGAATCCTGTGAGACCAGAAGAACCCTACAACAGCGAAAGAGAAGCTCATGCCCATGGGTTTAATATAACCTAATATTAATTGAAGCTGAGAAAAAAAATACTTGACCCAAGTGAGGCGTAGGACAAGAGCGCACCCTAAACTAATCGAAAGACATAATAGACGAAAGGTTTGTCGTTCGCGTAACACGAAGATCTGTCATGGTGGCACCGCCCATATTTTTTTGAAGTCTCATCTCCTGAGTGTTTTACCGAATTGGATAAAATTTTTAGGTTATAAATATATTCAAAGAGGATGCCGCTGAATAAGAATTTAATTAACTGTAAAGCTCCGATATTTATCCCTAATAAGCTTATTAAAGTTTTGTGAAGTTTCAATCCTGTTTTTGAGCTTTTAAAATTAGTTCCTTGTGAAGGCTTGGCTTTTCATTAAATAATTTGCTTCAAATCGACAAGTCCCGGACTATATCATCTACTTACTGCACAATTATTTTTTTGAATTCGAACTCATTCTTTTCACTCAGCAAATATTTTCTCTGTCAAGAAAAAATATACATACATAAATGAAAAGGAAAATAATCACATATAAATCGGCTATTAATTTCACTAGAATAATTGCGGTGATCAGCGTGAGAAATGATACAACTGTTGCACTGCCGACGAAGCACAAAAAAGAGTTGTAAAGAAATGAAATAGATAAAAAAAATAACATAAAGAATAAAGAGGAACTGTGAATTGATCAAATTAAATTGAATAAGCGCAAGTGAATGTATGTATGGACCTGTGTATGTGTGAAAGGAAGGCAAGTGTATGTGGTGAAGAGTCCGGACCAACGGAAAAAGAAATACGAAAATGAAATGAATGAGATGCTTAAAAATTTTTCATGAGAAAAATCACAGCAGCCTTGTAATGAAATAATTTTGTGTTAAGCCACTGAAGGAGAGTAAAAACTGTCCTTACAATGCAATACAAAGCAAGGAAAAATGGTAAGAGCAAAACTTGGTCAGCTCGGGACAGTAAGAAATGCCAATTGTGTGCTTTAAGCGATTTATGCTTTTTTCTTACTATTTTTTTTTATTTACTTTGATTTTTTTGTGCAATACAGTTTAATGTGGAAAGCAAGTGCTGCTGAGAACAAGTGGTCGGACGAACAATGCACGTTCGTGAGCTGTGTGAGCTATGGCCAGCTGATGGTCGACAGCAAAGCTCGTGGGCGTGCTCACAAAATCCACAACAAAAGGCAACAGTGTGTAAGTAAGTAAGTAAGTAAGTAAGTGAGTAGTGAATAGCTCAGCCAAGACAGACAGTTGTATCGTCCGGCCGAATGCGCTTCCGTCCGGCTTGCCGTTAACGAAAATGTATTCAGGCAAGTAAAATGAGTTGCAGTTGCAACTACAACTTTTCACTTTTACTTTATTTTCCTTCTCAATGGAATTTTCGCCAAGAAAGAACTGGCCAAGCAGTTGTCCAAGGATATTCTTAAGTAACTATATCAGTGAGTATGTACCTGTTTGTGTGAGTCAGCGTGTTTGCGTTTATTGTTGCAGCTGTTGTGGTTGATATGTGCGCACAAATATAGTATATTGGACCACATATATATTTATATATATATATATATCTATATATATTTATATTATACATACATTGTGCTTTTCAGCTCAGAGCTTCCTCCGCAAACAATATTACACAAAAGACTTGAGTACTTAATAGTACTTAGTGGATATCGAAGCGCACAGTTGGCAGCAAGCTGCGTTCGTCCTTGTCTGCGCTCAACTGTTATTCATTTTTCTTCATTTCAGTTTGATTAATTTCGTTTTGTTATATTTGAGTGCAACTTGTTGCATCGTGTGCCTATTCGTGTAGTGCTATTCACCTAATGTTTATCTGTATCTGCAAAGAATAATCGAGATATTTTTGATAAAAATATAAGCCGGTGCTTGGGCGTTCATGACATACAACTTCTGAATAAAATAGATTAGCATCGAAGGAAGTATGTCTTGGCGAGGACAACGAGTTTAAGAGGCAGAGAAGAAGAAGAATCTTTCTCCAATTTAATAACTAGCCTTAGCGACATAAGCTGCTGGAATGATAAACATTTTTTGTGTTCACTCAAAAAAATTTTCAAAGATTGAAAAATGCTTAGGAAAAGAATTCTGAATTAAGTCCAAAAAAATACGCTTCGAACTTTACCTTTGATCTAAAGGATGGAAAAGGATAAGGTAAAACAATTATATCAGCACCTTTTTAAACTAGAAAAGCAAATTTCAAATATTGCGCTCAGAAAATTATGTTTTTAAGTACTGTATTTTCAAAACACTGGATAATTGTTTTCTCTTATTGCAGGACCTTTTGAGATAATAACAAATTTTAGAGTAACTAAACTTCGACACCCCGCACTATTTTCCTGTCCCAACATTTTACTTGCATTGTTGCCGTAGAAAACGCATAAGCGGCAATAACACATAATCATAGGAGCTTTCAAAGTATGTGATTCTGGTGTTCGAATTCATTTATACAAATACTTACATACACTTTGTACTTCTGTGTGTGTCGTTTTACAAGTTTTGCTGGAAACACTTTGGATTGCGTGTGTCTGTGTCGGTAAGGCACAGCTGTTGCCAGTAAAAAGTATCCGGTGGATTGCAGAGCTTCATACGTGATAACTTCCTTTGGCAAAATCTCTTTCAATCACACTTTGACAAGTATTTTATTTCTGTATATTTCAATTAAATATAAGAAAAAAAATATTCATTCAAAATTATTCAGCATCAAAATGTTTCCTAATATGTGTTAATAGTCAGATTTCTAGAAGAAATTTACCACTCAAATACTAGTTCACAATAGATAACAAATGATTAGTTTAGTTTCAACCTAAAGGTTTTTTTTTGCTTGTCCTGGATAGGGGATAGGGATTAATAGCCTCAAAATACCTATTGCAAACAATACGAAGAGATTTTTTATATTTATTATCAGGTGTAAAACTTTGCTTCCTGTAGGTGGCTGCACCGGCTGAGGCTGGTTGAAATACATAGATGATAATGCTCTTAAAGTGAGTGTGGACAGTGCATAACGAATTGTCATCGCCGTTTCAGTGACAGTTGTTCTTGTTTTCGTATTATTCACGCTCGAAAATGTCCGTTTATGTGCCTAATTCTCGCCATTTGCGGGAAGTTTTACTTTTCTGGTACAATTCGAAAAAAAATGCAGCTGAAGCACGTCGAATGCTCTCAGAAACTTACGGTGATGCTGCTCTGAGTGAAAGAACGTGTCGGGAGGGGTTTCAACGTTTTAGAAATGGTGATTTCGTTGTCGAAGTCAAACATGGTGGTGGAAGAGAAAAAACCTTCAAAGATGAACAACTAGAAGCATTGCCTGATGAAGATTCGTGCCAACCACAAGAACAGCTTGCCGAATCGTTGGGAGTAAGTCTGCAAACCATTTCAAAACGTTTCAAGGCCCTGGGCATGATTCAGAAAGAAGGAAACTGGGTGCCGTACGAGTTGAAACCGAGGGACATCGAGCAAAAGTGGAAAAAAAGTACCTAGAAACGCTGAAATAAGAAGTTTTGCCCCATCCGCCGTATTCCCCAGGTTTCGCCTGTTCTGACTTCCACCTATTCCGTTCGATGGCACACGGCCTGGCAGATCAACATTTTCAATACTTCGAAGAGTTGGAAAATTGGATTGCTTCATGGAAAGCGTCAAAAGAGGACTCCTTTTTTCGAAAATTGCCGGAAAGATGGGAGAAAGTTGTCGCTGGCGGAGGACAATACTTTGAATAATATATCTGTAAACACTTTTTCGCAATAAAGCCTTCAATTTTGGTTAAAAAAACGGCGGAAGCAAAGTTGTACTCCTGATATATTCTCGTATTTATATAGTATACATATAATGGCTGCTTTGTTTACGCTTCTTCAGTCTGTTGTTTGACAGGGATAATCGAGCACTAGAAGGATGGCGCATCCGATTTCCCAAACGTTGGGACAGATGTTTCAACGCCTACCTACAAAGTATTTCGAGTATTGTCCGCCGAGCTATTCAAATACGGTGGCGAAGAATTGAAAGCTGTTTGCATCGTCGTACATGCAAACATACAGTATTCTTTACTTCTTACCTACCTTCAGTTTCGATTAGCTTGGTCCATGGCTGGCCTGAGTAATTGAATATTTTTTTAGAGATTTTTCAACTCGAAGATGTTGCCTTTAGTTATAAGATTTGAACAATTTTTTTTATCCATTTTTAGTCTATCGATGTCTCTTTAACGGTAAAAGGATAATCCAAAAATGACGTATTTTGTTTCTGATTAGCACTCAACAAAAAATATATTATACGTTGGGAAGATTTGTTTCTGAAAATTTAGTACTGATCAATGTTTTATGCTGATTGTATTGAATGTTAGGTAGTATTTTTTGCTTACTGATGAGAATCTCAATTAAATAATATATATATCTTAGCCCTGCTTAGCTAAGTGCCGCTAAGGTGTATCAATAAATTAATTTATTTTTGAAAATTCATATATGTATGTTATATCCAGAATTCCAAAGGCCTCGCGGCTACCCATCCTTCAATATATATATATGTATGTCGAATTTTTATATTTGATGCAATGCAACTCAATTTTATGTACGTTTTATAAAATTCAATTCGTACGTTAACTCTTTTTTCTTTTCCTTTCAGGTACGTACAAGCAAAGCATTAAATATCGAGTTTAAAAAACTTTCAACAACCTCAGTATGTAAGAAGGGGGCAGACAGTCAGTAAAGTTTAAAATAACGGCTGTCAGCCTATAGCCACCAAAGTCTGGTAAGTAAAGAATTAAGGGCAAAAGAAAAGAAAATGAGAAAATAATATTTTTGGAAAATTTATACACGTTCACCGCAAGAGCTGCGCCCTTTCTGCCGCTCTTTAAGGGGGTGGGGGGAAGACAGAATATGGCGAACATTTCAATCGCGTACGTATAAATTCTCATATATTTACCTCTGTGTGGTTGATTTTTTTTTTTATATTTTATCCAGCGAAACTTTATTGCTTTTCACAACATTTCTTCTTTGGCTTGAGTTTTCCCTGTGTTTTATGTTTGCATACATATATATTTCATTTTAATTGTGTTGTGGAAAGAAAAAAATTTATGAAATCGGAACGTGCTTAAAAACCTCAGTAAATTTATGCGAGTGCATGTGCGTTGTGTATACGAAAAGAAACCACAAATTAATCTGAAAGCTGCTGCTTGTCTGCTGCGAAAGTTGAGATTTTTACTGTGGAAGTAATGAATCTGTAGGAGATTGTACTACTCGCATATATGTAAGTATATGCACTTTTATGTATGTATATTGAATATATATTTTATGTTAATAAAAATCAATTGGAGCAATCACGAATCTTCAATACTTACATGCAAACATTCTCACATAAAGTCTTGAGTGAACAAATCCACTAAAACTCACTTTCCTTGACTTGGACCAATGTCTCTACATCGAATTCGGGCTCATAAAAATTTATAAGTAAATGCAATGAATCCTGAAAACATTTGTTGATTTTAATTCAAAAACTTTCAAAAAAGAGTTGGCAACTAGTTTCCGCACTAGTCTAAGCAAAAATTTTGCAATCATTCTGCTACTACGAATTTGGTTAAATTCGCAAATTTTTAATTAAAATTGAAGAAAACAAATGACATACCTTTTGGTTGGCGTTCTTTAAAAAATCAGAAACTTTTAAGTTTTCTTTACTTTTAATCGCCTCCAACAGGCGGGCAGGGTGCTTTCTTTATTGCTCAAAGCTTGAAATTATAAAAAGTATTGAAAACTTAAAACACTTGAGAGTAGATTTGCTGAATTAATTTTAAATATGCCCCTCCACACACACTTGTACAAGGGTATTTACGCAGCTACCTATGAACCTCGAAGGCATTCCTTAGCAGCTTGTTAAAAGACTACTTGAAAGGCCTATATTGTGCAATGCTTTACATGAAGAGTGATTTTTCGTCATGACATATAACGCATATAATTTAAAATTATGGCCAAGTGTTTAGTTTTTTATATAAGGATAAGGATTCTCAAAATGAAACTCGTTAAATGTATGGCATGTAGCGATGTCTTGTAAAAACTAAAAGTCGTTCACATCAACATGAATGACCATTGTCTCTTCATTTTTGAAGAATAAGGAGCAATAATCTACTTTTTCCATGAAGCACGGTCAAGCAGCATCTGTCAAGCACAGCCAAGGATTGCTTTTGAATTCAAAGCTATTAATTTAAGAGCGATTCAAACAAACCAAATAGGTATCCACATTAAATACCTCTTAAAAAGTCCACCTGAATTTAATACAAATTATTATTTTCCTTAGTATTTCCAATAAACAGCACAGGCGCCAAAGAACTTGGAATTTTTCACGCCTGAATAGTGTAGTGAATTAGTGCACCACGGCGTATACGTAACCGACTTTTGGTTTAACAGGTGACTTGTTCACGCAACTCTAATCAGCGCACTTAGGACTATTTCTCCGTTGTGATGTGTGTGCATAACGTAACTATAGCTATCTTTTTTTTAAGGAAACCTAAAGTATTCCTAATTTTTTCCCCCTTGATTAACATTTTGTATAAGCGAAATTGTGTTGCCTGGTGTCAATCCTGTATTTCACTTCGATCGAAGGGGTAGGTCACTGGTTTGATTGTTTGCCAGATTATAATCCAAAATTATAGAATTTTTCAAATTTATATTTTTTGGTGTATCTCCTAAGATGATTATTGAAAAACTGTTTAAAGTAAGAAATAGCAAATATATTCAAATATAGAGCGATACAAATTCAAATTCTCCGACAATTGGCCCGTTTTTGACATTAAATTATAAGAGCTCATAAATTTCTAAAGATACATGCGTGTGTGTCAATATCTTTTTTATTTATATTTCGTTTGATCAACAATCTTTTTAGTACATACATTCCTCAACTTTGTTGTAATATTGCACTTTATATCCACTCAACAATTGCCATAAATATGCCTAAACTGAAAATATATCATAAATAATGCTGTCAAATCGCTGCATCAAATTGTTCGTATGCGTTGCACATGTATGTATGTATGTATGTATATGTGAATGTAGCAATGGCAGGCATTCAGCTAACAATCGCAATCAATCTCATATTGCCGGCATATCACTCATAAGCGATGATGCATAAATATGTATGTAGTCTGCGTCACACACACACACACAAACACATCTAGTACAATATACGACAATAATTCAAATTGGATTTTAGAGTAGCATTTATGTATTTGCGGCACAACTGCGCCTGCATCTACACATCGCAACGAGGAGATCACATACTGAAAGCCAACCAATACAGAGACATGCGTTCGCGCAAAAATAACATAAATTGTTGCATTCCACAATGTATTTATTGCATACGCTTGGGCGCTGACTCTTGCTACCAACATCCGAAGGCACACAGCCGCCAACGCAAACATTCGCAACAAATTGGTTTACAAAGTGAACGATAAAAAGTGTTTTGCAATCTCGTAGATAGCAAAAGAAATAAAAAAAAATAAATGAAAAAAAATCACTAAAAAAGCAAATATGAATTGCACGAAATACCATTGCAGATCAGCAATCAAAAGTTGAGATTTATGAATTCCTCGTTTCCCTATGCTTTGTACATTTTTTCCACTGGCTGCTATCTGTGCTGAGTTTACCTTGGAATCTGCCTG